TTCAGTATTTTTAAGGACATGTATTCCCACAGCCAAACTGCGTACTGACTCTGTGGCAGGAAAAACCCCAAGTTGTCTGCTGAGCAGGGACCAGGTAGAAGGCTTTCTGTACTTGCTGGAGCACCGGGCAAATATATGTAGTTTTTGTATACTTATTTATTGTACATCAAAGCAATCTGGGATAAAATTTAGGTGAGACGAGAGGCAGGGCTCATTAGTTTGCCTTCAGGACTGTGCCAGCGTGGCATTATCACTTCTCAGGACCAGAGCTAGGATCTCTGCCATGCCTCACAGCATTACCATGGCAAGAGAGAGAGACTCTTGGGCCCTGCAGTCCCCGCTGTGCCGTGGACTTGTCCTGAAGCCAGACCTATTTTCTGTTCCCAGCTTTGCCTCTGATCTGTTGCCTGACCATAGGCAAGTCGCTCCAACCTTCTTGAAACCTTTCGCACGCTGTATATCCTGTCTGGTCCAGATCCACTACAGATTGCTAGGTCTACTAAACACCACGCTGCAGTTGGAAGCTGGTATTTGTGCTTCTGTAATAAAAATTCTGGGAAAGGAGCTACCCCATACCATGTGTTTGTACGGTGTCTCACGCCAGGGAGCGCTGATCTATTACAGATAATAAATAGTCATCAAATTGCTTATCTTTCTACCAATACTGGTTCAGAGGAAGATAAGATCATTCACCTGCAGAAACCTTCATTGGCTGGGAGCCTTTTTGTGCACATTTTCTGTATTAATATCAAGCAGGATTTAGCCTATTAAATTTAAGCGGTACATGGTGTACATGTTCAGTACTGCCGACACTGTTTTTCAATAGAAGTGCTGTGCATATTTGTTTTAAGCATTAGTATCGGTATATGATTTGATGATTTTGAGTTACTCTGGGCTCTGAACAAAAATTTGGTTCAATTTAAGTCTTGTTTCTAAAATATATCTGTAAATCATTTATTTAAGCTTGCATCAAAGCCTAAGTGTACTATATTATAATGAAGCCATTTTAATTTAAATTATGATACTGAAATATTTCTGTTGCTAAATTCTTGAAGAAAGTAGGAGCATCCAACAATAGAAAATTATTAACTAATTACCTGGAGTGAGCACTGAAATGATAAAACAGCTTTTTGGAGTTGCAGCTTCTTTTGCAGGTGTGGAGATAATGTTTTCTTTTCCAGCCACAACAGTTCATTTCAAAGTGGAAAGCAGGTCTGACAGCTGGGTAAAAAAAAATGTTCTCCTCTTCCTATCTGTGATTATAAAACTGATGGGGAAGGCTAAGAAACTACCTAAACCTTGAAGGATATAAGGTCCAGTCCAAAACAAGAGTAGGAGCATATTCCAGACACTGATGTGCAACATCTTAGGGCGCTGTAAGCCAGTAATATCAGCTTTGTTCGCAGTGTTTTTCTAACATATATATATATATATCTGGCTTCTGGTCGAGAACTGGTTTGTATCCCTCACGTGCAGAGGTGTAGAAGTCAGCCTGCAGGCACCAGCAGCAATGCTGGGAGAAATGTGCTGCTGCACGTTGACAAAACTGCCTCTGCTGCAAGAGCTGAATCTCTGCATAAGCCTTTGTGTCCAAGGCTATTTTGGTTTCAGAGACTGTATGAGTGCGCTTGAGTTGCCTTAGGAGCCCTGCTAACAGTAGGGAGAATGTTGGTGCTTCATTCTGCATCGAGCTTCCAAAAAATCTAGTTCTTGTTGTGTATCGGGGCCATGGTGACCAGAAGCAGTCTCTACACTTCACCCTAGCCATAGAGAGGTCCTGATTCTCTTTCTTTCAAAAAACCAATTATTTTTTACTATATAGTTTGATCAAGTTTGTTTAGCATAATGTCTTGAGCAGATTGATAGTAGTTGTGTTGAACTTAAATGTTTTCAAATACTGCTTTTCTTCACTTTGAGTTTGTGTCCAAACGTTGCTTGATGCCATTTTAAACCCAAGAGTCCATTGCTAAATTATGAGGTATGGAATTCACAGTTTTCTGTAATAACTTCTAAAACATTAAGAAACTGAGTAGATCAATGTTTAATAAATACATTAAAAGTTGTTCACAACTCTTCTGTGCACAGAAAACATGTTCGATCAATTTACGATAAATAATACCTGTAACTGCAAATCTCCATGTTTATGGTTAAAGAGCAAGAATGAATATTTCTTTGCGAGAGGGAAAACAAGTGAAATAAATCAAGGGTTTTGCTAGCCAGTTCAAAATTTAGTTGTCTCCAGGAGCGTCCATGTATTAAATAGGTCTCTCCCATTTGTGATAGCAGATAAGGGAAGCAAATGTGTTGTTTTTCCTTGATTTCTGACCTGCAAAGCGGGGACTTTGCATTTCTACCTCACAGGAATGCTGAGATGTGATGATACATCTTCCAAGTATGTGTCACTATTAAAATCTTAGGTCTGATAATATTTTATTTGTAAATATATGTAAACTTCTCCAATCATTTTCTGCCACGTGTGGCAGTTTAGATGGATGGATGTCTTGACTTTGATTCTGTGTAAACTTTAAAATAATAACGATCAAATTAAAACAAGTGAAAAACCCTGCTCACAAAAGCAGTATCTCTCACTGGTACCTGGTAGCCCTGGACAAAAATGTGACAGATAATAACCAAAGGTATTTCTTTGGTACTTTCACAAAAGAGCTGTGTTCTGTGGAAGTCTGAAAAGACTTCATGTTCCACAGTCGGCTGTCCTCCCATCCTTAGATGAATAAGTGATAGCAATTGCTGGTTTGTTTTGTTTTGGTGGGTTTTTTTTGTTTTGTTTTTTTTTTTCTATTGGAGTTCTTTGTCTTATCTCTAGTTACTAAAGGTTATGAAATTTAATCCAATACTTGAAAATCCCCGTGCAACAAATCGTTGTGCACTAGGCATGGAACTCGAGAGGTCAGGGCACATCACCGTATGGCACAAATAAGTAGGTAAGAAATGACTGGACTATCTTTGTATTGATACATGCGTACGCTGCAAAGAAAGGAAGATGCTTCCCAGGATGTGTAACTGTCTGCTCCGATGGGAAGGACATACAGTTCCACCTGGGTCCCACATCTAGCAAGAAGTGTGACTAATATGACCCCAGCAGATGAGCAAAATGCGCCACCTGGGGATCAATGAGCATTTTCAATTCTCTGTGTCCGAGTCCTGGTACTCTCCAGCCCATGACCCAAGTCCCATTGGGACCCTGAGAGGAAGGTTAGAAATACTTCTGGTACACCTGGCTAGGAGAAGGATTGTAGCCCTATGAGTGACTAACTGAAGCTCTGGAACATGAGATTTTGTTGTAATCTTTATCATAATGTATTAACTGCAAGTGTGCTGGGAAAGCTGAGGGCAATCCTGTTCTCCCCAAGCCTGTTGAAGGATGGTGATTGAGGCAACTGGTAGAGCCGTAGATCCTATGGTTTCAAACAATTTCTAAGTACTAACTGCAGTTTGAATGGGAAAGAAATATTGAAGAAGGTTTGTCACTTCTTGAAAACTGCTGCTCCTTAGGAACTCAAGTTTTCATAGAATCATAGAATTGCTGAGGTTGGAAGGGACCTTTAAGATCATCAAGTCCAACCATCAACCTCCCCTGACAAAACCACTTCTCAACCATGTTCCTAAGTACCACATCTACCCTTTTTTTAAACACCTCCAGGGATGGCAAAGCCAGCCCCTCCCTGGGCAGCCTATTCCAATGTTTAATAACCCTTTCAGTGAAAAAAAATCTCCTAATATCTAATCTAACCCTCGTCTGACATAACTTGAACCCATTTCCTCTCGTCCTATCACTTTTGACCAGGGAGAAGAGGTCAGCCCCCACCTCTCTACAACCTCCTTTCAGGTAGTTGTAGAGGGTGATAAGGTCTCCCCTCAGCCTCCTCTTCTCCAGGCTGAACAACCCCAGTTCCCTCAGTCGTTCCTCATAGGGCTTGTCCTCACCAGCTTTGTTGCCCTCCTCTGGACACGCTCCAACACCTCAATGTCCTTCTTGTAGTGAGGGGCCCAAAACTGAACACAGTACTAGAGGTGGGGCCTCACCAGTGCTGAGTACAGGGGGACGATCCCTTCCCTCGTCCTGCTCACCAAACTATTCCTGATACAGGCCAGGATGCTGTTGGCCTTCTTGGCCACCTGGGCACACTGCCGGCTCATATTCAGCCTGCATTCATTTTGGATGGTAAGAAAGGAAACGAAGTCAGCCAGAGCAGTGCTTTTTCCACTTTTAAAGACGTGGAGCTCAGACCTAGTTTGTCACAGTGTTTGCAGTTTTATTTACCATTTTCATAAGTAAACTCCTATCCTTCTGTACGTACGTACCACAGCCATGACCTGACCCTGTGAAGAAGCTGCCTGCTTTCTGGCAGCTAACCATAACAAACCTAGTTGAGGATGCTTGCCAACCGGTTCATCCCAGAGCAGGCTCGCCTTTTGATTTCTGATTTTTTCCTGCTTTGTCTCTGTTGAAACTGCCTGCAAGTCACCCCCTTAACGTGCGCGATGCTCTTGCAGGCCAATCTGCCCCTGCTGCAGCGGGAGCTGCTGCACTGTGCCAGGCTAGCCAAGCAGAACCCAGCCCAGTACCTCGCCCAGCACGAACAGCTGCTTCTGGATGCCAGCACCACCTCACCTGTTGACTCCTCAGAGCTGCTTCTCGATGTGAACGAAAACGGGAAGAGGCGAACTCCAGACAGGTGAGCACCGCCGCACCTTCCGCAGCCCGCTGGGAAGAGCTCCACTAGCAAGGGGGGAGCGTGTGGGTGAGAGCCTGGGGGGAACTGGGATGGTGGTCCTTGGGTGCAGGTCCTGCCCTCATTACAGCTGTGCAGTGGCCAAATGGCCTCTGTGTGTGTGTGTGTGTGTGTGTGTGTATGCGCGTGTGTGTAATGTATATATTCGTACATCGGCTCAGGCAGCCTGGGGACACACCATGGTCATATCTACACAGAAATAAAACCGACCAGCCAGTACCGTACTAATTTTTTGGTGCATAGTGCTTTTGTACGGCATAAAGTGATGAGCAGCAGATCACTCCAGCTCCATATTCAAGTCCTTGGTCTTTGAGGTTTTTTTGGATTAAACAGTAAATGTGGGGAAAGTGGGTAGGCACTCGTATTGGGAAGGACAAGGCAAGCTCCACAGGGCAGTCAGGGCTTAGACTCCTTCTGCTGTGCTGTGTTTTCATATCCATATATCCAAAATGCGTAAGGATATTTCTTCCAAACAGGAGAAATGTTCACTGAAATCTGTTTTATTGTTAGGCTGAGAAAGAGTCTGTGCCAAAACAGGGTGAGTGAGTGCGTGTGTGCAAATTACCATAGTTTTAGAGATATGGAACATTTTTCTCCTTTTTTTATTCGAATAAAGTTCTTTGTTTAGTGTTACAGTTAAATGACTCTTGTGGTTATTTATTTTTAACTGTCTTCCTGTGATAGTGTTAGAAATTCAGCTAGCATATAAATATTACCTTCTTGAGGCCCAAATGTTGGATTTTTCTTAGTTTTGTTTGCCATGGATTTTATAGTGTGGAGAACTTTTATAATAGTGTTCTGCCAAATGCTTCTACCTGCATGCACAAGGCATGGCGAGTGTTCTGGGTGTCTTTTAAATGAAAAAGGTGAAGATTTGCAAAGTCAAGAAGGTTTACAAGTTTGTACAGGTGACATTTTTTTGTAGGGACAGGCCACGATAGCACAAAGCCTATGGAGAAAATGAAGTCTGAAAGTTCGTGATGGTGGTAGACAAAAATTCAACACCAAATATTTCAGTTTGTATGAAAGTGAGATGTTCATGATGTAGATGCAAGACCTTGAAAATGTCTGCATAGGAAAACTTTAGGCTACTGATAGCCAGAAGTGAACAGTCAAACGTAAAGTAACATAGCCATTAGGTAGACAAAAATGTGAAAGTATTTGAAATTGACTTGCTTTAGATTGTGTTTCAGGGAAATCCCTATGGACCAGCAAGAAAATAAAGGTAACAGCAGAGAAGCCCTTTTCTGTGTATCCTCTTTTCACCATTTTTTTCCTGACAACTACACCAAACTGAAACAGCCATCGGTGTTAACACAAACCTGCTAACTGCATGCATGAAAGATGATTAATTTTCAGATATTTTCCATGTAGTCACTTACTCTGTGCAAAGAGATAACATTTCCAAAGCTGAAATTTAGCTCCCTGGGGCAGTTCTGCTGCATATCCTCAGTGTTTGCAGAGTGGTGTACCAAAATGTCTGTAAAAAAGGGTTCTTAAAATCTTGTGCATCTTGTGAATAACTTAAGTATCAGCATGTTGTAGCCCAATGTTGATAGCAGACATGGTATTTTTCCTACAAGTAGATAGACACACATTGAATTGTAAGCCCATGAGGTCTTGCTTGGCAGAGAATACAGAGAAGAGGGATGTGCCTTCTCCTGACAGCCCTCGCTCACTTTTTTCCCTACTAATAGAGAGTGGTGTTTCTCCCTTCTCCCATAGGGTCACAAAGGAAAAACGGGTAATATTTCCTTTGTTTTCGTACCTTAGTGTTCTGGAATAATACTTCCTCTCTTTCAGACCCAGTTTGACAGTGCTGAATTTCAGTTATTTTGTTGGAGGTGCAGTCCCACCTATGGTAGCTTCAGTCATGGGAGGGAGGGGATGGCTGGTGTGGGTAAAGCCTGGTACAAGAACTTAGTAATGAAAGATTCTGTATTGGTCTTATAGCAAAGAGGAGAAAACCATAAGGGGACTGCAGATCGGAAAAAAGAAGAATATTGGATTTTTAAAGTCAGCCTTCATCTTTTAATTAAAACTAAGGCTAGACCTAGAGGGATTTAAGTCTGGTTTATGGATTTTTTTTTTGTCAGTGTTTCTTTTTAGTTAAAACATAGGTGCTCTTGAAACTCAGAAGTCTCTGCTCAGGAGCCAGTGCCTTTGCCTTCACAACTGAAGTCTCTTTTAGGCTTCATCCAGCTTGGGGATTCTTCAGTTCTTCTCCATGTAGTAATGCAGCTTTTGGGGCGAGGGGTAGACAGTTTAACTTCCAGTGCTGTGGGTAAGATGCTGCGTTTGAATTCCCAGGGTCCAGGGAGGGGCTGTAATGCAGAGTGTCCCACTGGCCTGCCACACTCCGAGGGGCCAAAGCTGTCGACCGGCAGCCTGTGTCAATCGCTGCTTGAAATTAGGCTCCTTAGTTCTGGGGAAGTGGCGGTTCAGAAAAACCCATCCTTTCTTCTTTGACCCTGTGATTCTTTGCTGTCATGAAAGACCTGGGAAGACTGCCCAGCTCAGCCATTGGATGGTGCCTTGAGCTTAAAAATTTAATTGTTTTTTTCAGTATCCAACCACCCCGTCACTGGTCAGTCACACCTATTTCTCCATTTACTATGGTTAAAGCTATATAGAAAAAAATAAACTCATACGATAGTTTTGGCTGAACCAAGTTCAGTGGAGTTGTCTCATGGACTCAAGAACCATTTGTACTACAGATTTAGTAAAAAGAATAAGATCCTGTTGGAAAGATTCTTAAATTTATGGATTGGGAGTTCGCATACCTTTTAATTTGGATAATGTAAGTAAATCAACCACAAAAAACTGTCCTCAGAGGCAGAGCATGCCTAGGCTGAGTGAGTATTGAAACCAAATACTTGTCTGGCTTTATACTCATTACACTATTAATTATTTTAATTGTTTACAGAGGAGCATGAGGAAACATATGGAAATTAATACACGTTTTGTGTAGATACCTAAGCAGTTTTCAAATGTACTAACAGAAATACAGCAGAAGATAAGAGGCATCCTTTAAGAGGAGGGCTGTGACTCTGTTGCTAGAATATGGAAAAAAATGGCTAAAAGGCAACATCTTTCTAGGGGAACTAAATGCAGTTGGAATAATTTTGTTTGGAGGTATGTCTCACTAAATTAAATTGTGGTCTCTTTTCCACTTCCCAAGGGATATGAGAGATATAGATACACACACACATGCACATTGTGTATAATGTGTATGTAATACATACATGTATCTCATATGGGGGTGTGTGTGTATATGATACGTACACATATGTATTAGAAATATATATACACACATTCTTCCATATTTACATTTTTCTTTTGGGCATGGGTAACTGCATACCGTTGATTCCAACAGAGGTGAAATCAACAAGGAATTAGGCAAAGGAAGTGGAATGCGTGTGGCACATAACCGTATCCACCTTGTGATTTTTTGTTAAAAAAAAATCCACGTACAGTAATTTTTTCTGCTTATAAGTTCAGAACCTTTTTTTGCATATGCATTTTCTAATTCCAGTTATTTATCTGCATATCCAAATCTACTGTATGTGAGGTTTTATAGAGCAATCTGACAGCAGAGCTTCGTGTTTTACTGAATGTTTTCTTGGTGCATATGGTCTGACACGGATGAGCAGCCACGGTGAGATTTTGGAGTCTATTAAACTAGCTCATTAAAAAGATCAATCTGTTTCTGTAATAACACTGGGAACCATCAGTCACTGCAAGAGAGAAAAACTGACACCTGAGGAGACAACACATTTTGGTAATTTGTTCATGACATGTCATGAACAAAGTATTCACTATGTTTTGTTTACGACTTTTGGAGTTTACATTCTACTGTAGTAAAAGCAAAGGAACTTGGACCAATGTGAGTTTTTATTTTGGTAAATGAATGCTTAGTTATAATTAACATGATTTTAAATACACTAAGTACAAAAGACTTTTTGTTAATTAGTCATCCTTTGAGCTTGCTGGGAAGGGTTGTATGGCACATGAGCATGCCATGCAGCGACTATATTTATGACAGCTGCCTACAAAGTGGATATAGGTCATTTTTAAGAAAAAAAATCTGTTGGGATATCTCTACAAAACAAAAGTGGCCATGATTGTTTTGTGACTTTAGATAGTACTGCTGGCTTGCTGTACCCTGGCACCCCTGGCGATGAATTCATGTTGAAGGTAACTGGAAACAGGGACCAGCTTTGATAATTCTATTAGGCAAATCTTTCTATTTTAAGAAGTTCCTACACATCTCAATAAGGTGAAGGATGCTCACAGCTCTTATAGTGATGCCTCTTACAAGCCACGAATAATTATGAGGAATCTTAAACAAATTTTCTTAATATGACCTGTTAGCAAGGGAATATTAATCTTTTCTGCAACGCAGTATTATAAACAAAATAAGTATTTTATTCAACAAAACATTATCACATCTTTGGTCATCAAGACTTTATTGGTGGAAGTCCAATTTAAATCAAAACATCTTGACCAAATAACAGATGAACAGCTTTGCCTCCTTCTCGCAAGCTGACCTCAGTGTTCTTTGAAATTGGTGTAATACTCTTGATTGGGTGAAACTTAATTTTCCAGCCAAGGCAGTTTTGCATGGTCAGATTTCCTACCCAGGAAATTATCCATAAATTGCAATAATTTAAAACTGAAATGGTGACTTACAAACAACATAAAGTGTGTTAAATGGGTACAGAATAATGACTAGGATCTATTCTGGTATCTTTAATCTGAGTATATCATGGCACCAAGTAAAATGACTCCCTGCATGTTTATAGCTGAAGGACCTCATCTTTATCGTACTGCCAATTTTCCAAATGACAGTGCCGATTTATGTGCACATCAAGGGAGATGTGACCAACAAGAGCAAGAAAAAGAAAAATAAGAAAAATGTGTCAGTTAAGCTTCCTACAATGCACATTTAATGCTATTTCCTGTCTACAGCTTGTTGTTGCTTTGCAAAATTGGATGAATCGGATAAAAATCGGATTAAACCAGATGAAAATTGTGGGGGGTTTGGATTTGGAACTAGTACTCATACGGGTCTGCCAGTTACTGTGAAACAAGAGTGATTCCTCAGGCACCTGGGGAAATGATGTTGTCCCAAGGGGGTGAGACCCGAAATAATGAGTAGGACTGAGATCAGAAGCAGAATAGTAGTTTGAGTTCAGGGCATTTGAATTATGTCCTCTTCAGTACTCAACTGTCTGTGTTTTATCGCTCTATTCAGATACAGTAAATTTGCCAGCGATTCCTGTTCTGATGAGACTTTAAAAATTACTACCTTTTTATGTACTTTATATGGTCAAAAACAGTAAATGAGTTAATATACAGCCTCATTCTGGTATTCTGCTAAGTTGTTAATTTGGCCAGCGCAGAAAATATAACAACAAATTGTAGAATTAAGATTTCAACACACAGAAAACACCCAACGGCCATTATCCAGTATAATAGGAAAAATAGGAATTTCATTTCAGTAAATGTGTTTTCAATGGTAATGGTAATTTCTATGTTAGTTAAACTCAGGGTCCTAGACAAAAATGGATATGTTGGTGTGTTGTCCAAGATAATGCAGTTCATTCCAGTTAAGTTAGTTAAGTATAAAGCATTCCTTAAGAAAACACAGATGTACCTGTACAGTAAGGTGCAAATATGGATATTTATATGAGAATATATGATTTTAACATCTAATTACAGTTCAGAGAGGGAAAACTGGATTCCTACTTGTCCCAGTTTTCTGGTTTGCTTCTCCTACACTGAATGATCAAAAAAAGTCAGTGTAGTTATTTAATTACTTACTGTTTCTGATTCCCCCCCCATCTTTGTTAGAGATCTTTCTAACTGTACCACTAAAGAACTTTGGCAAATGAATAGCTTGGCTCGTACATACAGGAAATTCCATATTTTGCTTGCATATTATTTTTACAATTGAAAGACCTGGACATAGTGTGTGAGTAGATGTGTGCAAAGGAAACACACACCAGCAACTAAATACAAAACTTGTCTTGGAGAGCTGTGAAAAACATCATTACCCATTGGGAGTTGTTGCAAGCAGTTCCATCATGCCAAAAGCCATTAAAAATACATGATGGTCTTCAGGTTTTCCTGATTAGGAGTTTTCAAAGCCATACTGCCTTTACTTTGGAACAAGGTACATACTCTACTTCAACTAAGTATATCTTTTATATCTCTGCCCAAAATTAGAACAGCTGCCCTGCTGTATTGGTGAAAGATTCTCCCCTCTTTGCCAAGTTAAGGTATAATGAAATAGATATACCTGCAGCCTCTCTGGCATTGGTGATTGTGGTGAGGTCCCTGGAAAATCTCTTTACTCCTTCTGAAAACGGTGGAACCTGTCTTTTCATTTCCTGCTGGTAATTACAAGATCTTACTTTGATCCTCTGTCCCTGTGGATATTGGCAAAGATTTGGTTTCATCCTTCCTTTAATTGACATTAAAGGAGAACCTATAGAAGGGCAACATTTAATACATTGAGTGTTTCTCCAGAGACAGTCCCTGGAGGTTGCTTGGTTTGTGGGGGAGGGTTTGTTGAAGGGCAGTTGGTTTTAACAGCAGGCAAAAAAGAAAATTAAATCAAATTTACCTTCCTGTCAAAGTGACAAAAAATTGTGTTATTATTAGGAAGAGGTATTATGGCATCCATAAATCACAGAGGAGAAAGTTCTCTTTAAAAAAGGCTGGAATGTATCAGCTGTTTAATGAAGGTTTTTGGAGGGAGAGATGTAACCTCAACAATGTGCAATATTTATATCTAATAATCTTTCTGTTCAAAGCTAGTATTTTGTAGGTTTTGTTTATTCCAGTGGTAACAACTCCCCCCCGCCCCAGTTCAGTGAAACGAATCTTCCCTAAAAGGAGTTGAAGTAACTCTAGCCTTTCTTTTTTATTTTAATGGAAAGATAATTCAGTATGAATTCCAAGTTCTCAGGTAGAGAGAGTCTCTACCGAAGTAGAGACTTCTTTGTAAATAGCTGATTATGAATTGAATTGAGTATCTATAAAGTAAAAATTGAATTGAGTATCTATAAAGTAAAAATCTGCCCTTCTCCCTGATAACTCCTCAAAGTTGCCTGAGCATAAAACCCCTGTCTAAGAGTAGTGGGAGTGGGAAATCTTACATGTTGAAAACTTGAATCTAACCACGTCTTCCTGCAAAATTAATGACAGGTACAGCACCTTTGACTAAAATAGCCCAGATGGTACAAAAATCCCTGAAAGAAGCATTTCTCATCATCCTGAGTAATTCTTGCCCAAAGTCTTAGTGTGATCTCAAAGATCTCACTGATCTTGATGGGAACTCATCCTCATATAACTGACCTTGAGCACAATAACATGTACTGCCTTAATACTATATATGCTATCCTGTTGAAAAAACCACACATTCCTTTAACTGCAAATTTCCCCTAATCACTATATACTATAGCACTACTGAAAGTAGGAATTTCTCAGCCTCTAGCTTCATGTGTCTGTTGATTGTTTCAGCTCTGCAATTACGTGTGTATCCATCCCGCCAGCGGGTGATATCAGTGACTGCTGCTCGCTCTCCAGCCTGGCTCTTCAAGCCGCTCCGTCAGAAGGCTCACCCTGCTCGTATTTCTCAAGTTACAGGGATAGTTAGACAAGGAGAATGTGTCCTTTGTATATTCTGAATGAGCAGTGTTATGAAATGTTCTGCAACGCCACACACTTGGAGCAAAGTGAAAGAACAAGCTTTAGTTCCTGAAGCTGCACGTGTAGGTGGGGGTGCGTGTTCCTCAACAGCTCTGCTCACTAAGGGAATTAAAATTCCTTTGCTTTGTTTTTCAGAACCAAAGAAAATGGCTTTGACAGAGAGCCTTTGCACTCAGAGCATCCAAGCAAGCGGCCCTGCACTATTAGCCCAGGCCAGCGGTACAGTCCAAATAATGGCTTATCTTATCAGCCCAATGGTCTGCCTCATCCCACCCCACCTCCACCTCAGCATTATCGTTTGGATGATATGGCCATTGCCCACCACTACAGGGACTCATACAGACACCCCAATCACAGGGACCTCAGGGACAGAAACAGACCTATGGGTAAGGCATGTTGATCTTCTGCATTGTTTTTTTAGGTTTCTCTTCTCCTTGTAATTACATTCTGTATTGTGAACAAGGGTGGGTTTTTTGCTGTTTAAATCTACCTGCCATTCCAATGTCGCCTTTGTAGCTGTTTGTCCATCTAATGGCCTTATTCTAATGGCCTTATTTCAGATGTATGTTTGTAAAAGTGGATTGAATCGTGTCTTTGCTACACTACAGCATGTCAGAAGGAGGAGGAACTCGTGCTTTTACAGCTGCGTAGATGACATGGACACTCAGGTGTCTGGCAGGCAAGGATAGGTAGAGCCTTTTATTTTTCTTCTAATGCCACATTTGTGATGATAACAGTGTTCAACGCTTGGTTTCAGCTTAGACTAGGGGAAAGTTATTAGCCTCTGGAGAAGTGTTTCATGTGTGGCACCTCAGGAGCGCGCTGCTGCGTGGGGATGTCTGCAGAGGATGCGAACAGCAGAAGCACCAACTACATCCCGCACAGGGCTGCCCTTGCAGCACATTTCAGTGTAATGGAATGTGTGATGCTCCTGGATTTGCCTGGCTTGCTTCTGTCACATCTGCACTTGCTATTCTTCTTTGTTTTAAACAAATGTCCAATAAAAGAGGAGCATTCACAAATATTCAGCATCTGTATAGAGGAGGCTAAACAAGGAGCAAGTGTCGGTTCCTCTTGAGTGTTGATAATAAATACTGGTTTGGTTGTATCATGTTGTCAGCTGCTCTGATATATGTGCTACATTTTAAACACATGTTGTTTAAACATCTGTGAAGGGATGAACCCTTAATGATGCTCTGTTGACATGGTAGTAATTACTGCATTTAGTGAAATAACATTGAGTTTATACTAATATTTTTTCAACTCTTTGAAGTACAGCTAGTATTCGATACATTGAGTTACCAAATAATTGTCTTGCAGACTTCTTCAAGTAGTGCAAATGAAAAATTATATATGGTATTATATTATATGTGTTTTTATATATATATGTGACAATTGTGTAAAGTCAGAAAGGGTGGTGTCCATTTTTGAGAGGTCATCTTGCAACCTACAGAACTTGCAGAACTGAAGACATTAAATGTTAGTAAAACAGTAGCATCTTGTGTGGGGAGAGGTGCTAAACAGAACTTAAAGCAAAGTTTTTAAGCATCCATTTATTTTTGTGGACCAGGTAATGTACGATTTGTCTGTTAGACTCTTACCACCCCAGACTCCCAACATTGTAAACATGATTTGCTTTTTTTTGGCAGGGTTGCATGGCACACGTCAAGAAGAAATGATTGATCACAGGCTAACAGACAGAGAATGGGCAGAAGAATGGAAACACCTTGATCATGTAAGGGCTGAATGTACTCATGTATAATTGTCTGAAATGAGCCCTTCTAAGATAGGAATTTAAAATGTTTCTTTTCAAACAAATCTGAATCCAAGGACAAATTTTGCAAGCCTTGGTGATTAAATCAGAGGGCTTGATGTTCCCCATTAGGTAGCTCATATCAGGCCTTGCTGTTAAGCGCCAACTGCAGTATCCTCATTATTAAAGGCTGCCAAAAGGGGAATGGACTCTGCTCTATAAACCCTGCATCTGGGACACATTGGATTTGTTCTTTGAATTTATTAGCTCTTACAACACTTGTAGGCATCAGTTCTGGACCAGGTCTCCTGACCTCTGTGGAGCCATGATACTGGTGGTGGTACTACAGTCTGTTCAGTCTTTTCCTCCTTGTCTTGGCCCTTTCCCCCAGAAATCCGTATCTGTACCATTTAGGATCACCAGTTAAACAGGAAGGGACTGTCATTCTTAAGACTAGAATTTTTCAGCAGTATCTAAGATAACAGGAAGAGACTCCTTCATTATTAAATCCCAGGCACTCAGCACATTAATGTTTTCTTTTTTTTTTTTGTTGGTTTATGAATAAAATGCTTTTTTTTTTGTTCCTCTGTTCCATCCACCACTGTGAATAGCTGTTAAACTGTATAATGGACATGGTGGAAAAAACTAGGCGATCTCTCACTGTACTACGGCGATGTCAAGAAGCAGACCGTGAGGAGCTTAATTACTGGATACGGCGGTACAGTGATGCGGAAGATTTAAAAAAAGGCGGTAACAGCAGCAGTAGTCATTCCAGACAGCAGAGTCCAGTGAATCCAGATCCAGTTACACTAGGTACAGTATCCCCATTAAAAATTGTTTACCGGTCCTCTTTCAGCTCAGCTAAGTGCTAGATTAGAAGTTCGTATTTGTTCTTCTGATTCTTCTTCTGTGATGGTGGTGAAATATTCCTCTCTGCTGACTGCTGAATTAACTATAACTTGTGCCCTAATAGTCATGTTTCCAAGTGGAATGGCTTGGGTTTTTGGGTGATGCTTGGTAATTTGCTTTCCATTCAGCAATGTCTGAGAGCGGTGGGGAGGGAGGACAGACTGTCACATAGGGATGGCAGAGCAGTACGATGTGCCCTGACTCTGTCCCTTCCTTCTCCCTTCCTTGCCTGCTTTATTAAGGAAATCTGTAGGTGCTTCTGGATTGTTAGCACTGTGAAACCAGGGGCTTTCACCTTCTCCAATCAAATTACTTAACTTGTAAGTTGTCTTTCTAAGAAAATGAAGGGAGATATAAAGATATGGGCACTTCTTAGCTGTACTTGGTTTCTGTATAAGAAAGAAACAACATCTGGGATGCTCACAGTCATGCACGCATGATGTGTGCACTGCTGCAGCTCATTCAGCTGTGTCTGAGCTAGTTTTGGGTACTGCTCACTGTGTAGTTACATGGAGCTGCTCAGAAGTCAGCTCAAGGTGCTTCACTTATGAGGAGCAGACCAAGCAGTTGGACATTCACGCTCTGCAGACCTTCACAGTCACACTCACACGACGCCTCACACAACTACTCCAAGATGACTGTGCTGTGTAGAAACAAGCTTTTATTTTGTATGCTTTCTGTAACATACTGCTTCTACCCCCATCCCCTCACTTTTATGGCAGGTGTGGTAAAGAAACACATCTTGGTGATGCCTTTTTATTGTTCTCCGGTCTTTTGAAGAGAACAGCAAACTGTGATTGCTTGAATAATATTTATCTTTAAAAAAATAACTTGTCCATATTGAATGCTGTCTACATAAAACCATCATAAACTGTGGTCATTAGTAGAATTGAATGGGTGCATTATTTTGCAACTGTATTTTATTTAAAGCTGTGTTTTGCTTTTGCCCTTAAGAATAACTTATAAAACCTACAACTTATTTAATTGCAAATAGAAAAACAGAATGACAAATCTAACGCTCTCTCCATCTTCCTCTTGGTAAATCTCTAGAGTTCTTACTGTAATATTTAGTGCCTCTTGATGACAAACATACCTTTTTTCTTGTTTGTGTCAAATGATCTGAGCCAATAGCTCTATAAATTAGCTTCAGTCGGTGAAAGGAATTGTTATGGAAATGCTGTTCCCAACTTCACTAATAAGTCTATTCCCTAGAGGAGCCCTTCTCAGAAAGAAGCATTCAGGTAATGGCTTGTACGAATAGAGTTAAATGTAATGTAAAGAAAGACTCATAAATATGGCATCTGAAATGTCGATCACATCTGCAGCTTCGGGAAGAACACTTGTGAGGAAGCCCCTAGATCAAAAGAAGTGTCACCCTTCTCTAGTAAAGCTATGGTGCAAAAAGACCCGGGCCATGGTGCTTGTAAGTATAGTTAGTCGGTAAAAAAATAGAAAGGAAACTGGGTTTTAATAATTTCCCCAAAGAAACTGGAACTCAAGACATTCATCAAAACTTTATAGATACTAGCACAATCCAAGAAAAACACCCATAACCACAACAACAGCAACAAAAGATAAAATGGAGATCAAACGTACAATTAGATTCCTATATTATCATTTTGTTTGTGCATTTCTCAAGATTAATTCTGGGAAACAGTAAAGTCTGTTTGCTTAAAAAGACGTTATATGGCAACAGCCTTCGGCATTGGACACACCAGTCACCTGTGCGGTACTATGGGTACAAATGAACTGGTTGGAATGAGTCCATTTCAATTTCAACATGTCCATTTTGGTTATTTGGCTTTAAAAAGTACTTCCCAAGACTCATGGACATGAAACTTGCATCACTTCAGTGATGTAGCATCCATGTCAGTCATAAATATTGATAAGAAATGTTTTTATGTCTTGATATATAAGGCACGAAATACTGACTTTGGAGTCTATGGAAAGGTAATCCTTATATTTCCTCAAATCTGGTAGTAACCTAGTTAACAAAATGGAAACTCCTAACATTGAGAGGTATAATAAAATTGAAGCAGTGTCTGTGAGCCTTGAGATGCTGTTCTGCGTAGGGCTTTTTATTTTAGTTTTGAAATGAGGAGAAAGATGTTGAAAAATTCCTTCAATATTTTAATTAAAGTGCTGCAACATGTAAATATTGTTTTTTGCTGCAGGGATTCTAAATGTCAGTGATTCCCCTTTGTATTTTTTTTAAGGAGGTAATCTACCCTTTAAATCCATCTTGTCATCTCCACTAGCAAGAGGAAAAAATAAGGGGACCATATGGCTACATTGTCTGTGCCTTTGTTTCTTTTTCTTTACGATTAAAATATCATCACTGAAGTGATAAGTTCTCACTATAAACATTATGCCACGGTCTTCATAGATAGCTCTTGCTGAAGATCTCTGAGCTGAAATTTAGCATAGATAGTTTGAGTCCAAAAGAAATTGAAGAAAATTCTGGTCATCATTTTGAACAAGCAGACAGTATTTTTCTATCAAGGATTTTTGTGCTTCTTTTAATTTGACATCCCTGTAAATCATGTTGAGCTTGACAGTTCACAGTATCTGATCGATAGTTTTCTGTTGATATTTTTAATTAAGAAATCAAATGAAATATTTGATAATTCATTTTAATGCAGTGTAATCCAATACACGCATTAGCCAGCTACAACAGGTTACAAGCTCTCATTATTCTCTGAGAGTGTGTTGAGGGTAAGATGGGTCCATTCTTTTCAGTCTGAATAATACATGTTTATGAAAGTCTAAAAATGACTTAGACTTTATATATATTCACTTGATGAACTGTGATGGTCTGTGAAGTGAATAATACATCATCTGACTCCTCCATTTCTGCTGAAGAATTTCAGTAGTACATACTGCGGCAGGACTGCAACTTTCATCCTAATAGTGAATAATTACACATATCAGACATTGTATACTGAACTACACGCAGTCGGATAAATTAAAGATGAGGGTTCTTCAACATCGTGGGTTATAAACAAGATCTATAACCTTCCTGAGTGCAGCTGTGGCTCTAGATAAGTGGTGTAGGCACACATCAGAAGGTCTGCAGCAATGTTGATATTTTCTGCCTGTTGAATTTATCTGAATGGAAATCTTACAAAATAGAGTTTGAAATCTCCAACTGAAGAGTGCCAATACCTGCAAGATTTGCCTCAGGACGCCAGGATTCTCAGAACTGTATGAATTTGTCAAAAACACATCGGTTAGCCATTTCTTAATACATTTTTAAATGTTAACCCTTTCAGAGCTACTTTATATTTTATCAAAGGTTGTTCACCCTCATACTTTCAGTGTTAGCCAGGGCATTCCTGCCAATAAATGTCTGTTCACGCTGTGATTATAAAATCTTTCCTTTGCCATTTGCAGGTAATCAGCGTTGCTGTGATATGCATGATATTCTCAACATGAGCTAACGGGAATGCTGGGAATACCACAGTAACATTTAGAACTTGTAATTTTAGAATGTAAGGCCTCCGTAATGCTGGTTACTGATGATATTAAGTATTGCTCTTAATCCACTCGCTGCACCGGAGGTTTGGGCTGGATTGTGGCGTACTGAACTGCACGCTGTTAGATAGGGCTACAGCTGCAGAAACATCGCGCGTTTGTATTCTCAGTGTTTGGTTCTGACTTGATCATGGTTGAGGATGATTCAGTAATACAGTACCTGTGTAGTTTTCTTTTGCTTATTCTTTTTAACTCAGAGCACAACTATATTTTTAATGCAATTTCACATGTGTTCAAGGAGTGTTGTAATAGCCACAAAAATGTATTAGAGGGCAAAGATGTACGTAAAAACACTTGAAACCCAAATCCCCC